TGGCACAAACATCATAGGACAGGAATCACCCTTATGGCATTTATGGCATACGGTGCTTTGTTCTAGGGGCTCCTCTGCCAGTGGGTTTGCAATGGAACCAAGGTCTTGGATAATGGTCATGGATGGACCATTCTGTGATCAAGGAACCGGTGGTGAGATGGTACCCAGAGAGTAGTGCTCAATGGCTCAGTGTTCAGGTGGAGATCAGCGATGAGTGGAGTCCTCTGGGAGTCATTACTGGGACAAATACTTTTAACATCTTCGTCAGTGACATCAACAGTGGGATTGAGCACACTCACAGCAAGTTTGTGGGTGACACCAAGCTGTGTGTTGTGTCAAGGGACAGAATGCCACCCAGAGATCTAGACAGGCCTCTGAGAGTGGCCTTTCAGTACCTAAAGGGGCTGTAAGAAAGAGAAGGCCAGACTCTTTAGCGAGGTCTGTTGTGATAGGACAAGGGAAATGGCTTCAAACTAAAAGAGGGAAGATTGAGATTGGGTGTAAGGAAAAGCTTTTGGCGATAAAGGTGGTGAAGCACTGGAAAAAGCTGCCCAAGGAAGTTGTGGATGCCCCATCTCTGGATGGGGCCCTGGGCAGCCTGATCTAGTGGTTGGCAACTCTGTCCATGATAGGGGTGATCTCTAAGATCCCTTCCAATCTCAGCCATTCTATGATCCTGTGATTCTATGAGACTTTGAGCTGCTACTGACCAGCAAAAAGAGTCTGTTTTTTAAATGCTCATACATCAGAATAAGAGTGCAGAACAGCAAGTGGGCACTGGGGGAGTTTACATCCCAAAGCACTCCCTTTGCCAAGGTTGCGTTCCTTCATTTTGATCACAGATTACAGAGCTACAGTGCAATGGTTTCCCATGGGAAACCAGAGGCCAGTGGAGTTTCATCAGGAAACAAGTTACTGCTGGGGCTGGGAGCAGCATGGTTTCACTCCACAGCACAGGAGGATTTACTGTAGCACAAACCCTTCATGCAGGTGATTGACTGCTCCTGCTACCTGCAACAGCCCAGAATCTGCTGCCTTTGTGTCCTTACTGTTAGTCCAATTGTTCATTCACGGACCAAGACACTCCCAGCGCATCCAATTCCAGCCTGGGTAAGTGGCTGCGATCCTCATCAAAAATCAATTGACTGAAGTCAGACCACATCTCCAGTTGCTGAGGACAGGCAAATCCACATTGCTCATGAGAAGACCAGTGGTGCAGAACATCACTTAGTGCTTGCAGCTGCTTTATGGCAACAGAAGTGGAAGAGAAGATGCAGAGACATGAGGAGCAGGATCCTGTGGTACTTGGGAGTCCTGAACACGTGGATGGGAAATAACTTTGAGACGGGGTCTGTTCCTTGACCATGTGTTGAAAATGTCCGTTCAGTTTTGGAGGAAAGCATTGTCTGTTTACTTATTTATGCAGCTAAAAAGATTGAGGACATTGCTGTCAACCGCCAGGGCTCTGAATCCATACTCTGTCACTGCAATCAGGTGCTCTAGTGCTCTAAATTACTAGCTAGCTGCACTTAGCCCTGGTTGACCATTGCAGCAACCCCTCAGAAACAAAGTCACGCACTTTTCCAGGTGCGTATGCAGCCCACGTTAGTTTTGGGGACCTAAAATTGCTGCCTTTCCCTCTGAAGAGAGGGAGGATTGGTCTCAGGCTCCTCACTGCTGCCTAGAACCTTTGTCGCAATGCCCCTTTGCATCTGGCAGCCTCACTGTTGTTTTGGGGATGAGTCACAGGAGACTGAGCTATCTGGTCCGAAAGGCTCAGTTTCGGTGCTGAGTCACTGCAAAGACATTCTGAGCAGCTCAGGGCTGTGTTTGTGTTACACCTCCTGTTTTACAAAGGACTTCTGCTTATTTTTGCTCACCTAGAAGGTTGTGCATCCACGTGTATTTCTTAACTGGTGTTCCTCCAGCACGTCTGGCCGAGGATGGTGTGGCCGCTTTGTGGTTCTCACTATGGAACATGAGGCCTTCATTGTGGTGCATCACCCTCATCCTCATTGTGGCTGCCTCCAGCCTGGCTCTGACTCCAAGGCAGATTCCATTTCTTTCTTTTTTTTTCCTTCAAATAAAACCAATATTGCTATTGCTATGTATTATTTATGCTATGGAAAACATTGAGAGGAAGAAGTGGGAAAAATTATCTCGTTCTTTCTAGAATCCGCAAGCAGCTGAAAGACAAAGAATATAGAATTAACAAAAGAAAAAAAAAAAACAAAAAAACCAACCTCAGCTAATTTTGGAAAGTTTCATCTTCACAAGATCCACTCATTTCACAGCTAATTCTTTGTAAACCGTTATCCCTTTTGTTCCAAGTTTGGTGTAGTTTTACGTCAAGCCAAGTTCAATGAAAGAAAAAAAGGGAGAGAGGGTTTGAATTATTCCCCATCTCCTCATCCCACAAGAAAAACTTGGGTTTGAAGATCACATTTTAATATGCAAGAATCCAGCCAAGGACGCCCTTGCTAATCTTTCAAAATGCAGCGCTGTGCTCCTTCAAAGTATTGAAAGCTGCTTGGATTGTGATAGAATGCATAACCCTGTATTAAACTTCTAATGGCTAATGAGACAGAATTTGGTTATGAAGGCTGAAATATAGAAAATATAAATCAGTAGTGCGCAACGAACACTCATCCTCTGTTATTTTCATTAAATCAGTTTTAAACTAACTTTACCATTTGTCTTTCATGATATTTTCATTACTTTCCTATCCGTTGGGGACAAGCTGGAACAGTTTTATAGTTCATTTCTCTAATCTTCACTGTGGGTTATTCAAGCAACAGAGTGTGATGTTTTACCTCCAGTCCAAGCCAGAGTTTTGGGCTGAGTTACCCTGTTGTGCCTTACTGGTAGGTAGGTGGAAGGACAGAACATGCACCTTGAAAACCAGATAAGTCCTTTTCAGCATCATTCACTGGAGCAAATCATGAGGACAGTAGAAGTGGCTTTTGTTGTTCCTATTTCCCACTAGACAGTTACACAGACACTCCATCTAGCTTGGTGTGGTCTCTGTTCTCCTGTATGAGCATTCTGGATGTCCCTCAGGATCCTGCCCCACTCTGCCCATGGGAAGGCTGAAGCCCTGTGCACCCCCTGGAATTTCAGTGGCTAAAGGCTTCTTACCCATTTGTGCTTTCTCTTAAATGGAGTCTGTCTTGTGAATAAACCAGCAAGGGTTGGATCAGTGGTATCAGTGGGATTTCTGACTTTGGCTAAACATAAAGCTTTAATTTTCTTGATGCACACCTACAGAACTCCTCACAACCACAGCCAGAAAACATCTGAAGGACAATAACAGGGTTTATGTGAATCAGCTGTACAGTTATTTGTGGGGATTACACTGTAGCTGTGCTGGAAATAATGGTAATTCTCCAGTAATTCACATCAACAGTGTGATGCTGTTCCCCAGCCACTCTGCTCGTCACTGCCACAGCCCAGGAGTGGAGCAGGCAGGACTCAGTGCTGAAGCAATCAGTGAGCTCCTGAGGGCTTCACACTGCAGCAATGGGAACATCACCAAGGTAGACAGGGCCTGTGCTGCTCTGCAATCTGTTTGACCAGGAATAAATCATTGTTTTTTCAATCTCGGCAGCTTGTTTCGCATAATTCCTTGAGAGATAAAAATTAAATATCACTGCATTAGAAGCTGTATGTCCTAAGTAGGGAACAAACTCATAACCATGTAGCCATCACATTAAACAAACGAGCTGCTCATTAAAAATAGATGCAAAAGATTCAATTAGATCTGATGCTGTATTAGGAGTCTGAGGACATGCTGGCTTTCTTTCCATTGGTTTTAGGCAATAATGAAACAGCTTTTAGTAGTGACCCAAGAGGAATACGTTTCTTTTTTAAATACTTATTTCCTTTCTAATCTTGAAACTACTGTTAAGCACCTTTTCCATTAAGCAAAGAGGGGAAAAAAAAAACAAACCATTTCAGCTGGGTTTGGAGGCATAGAAGAGTGAGGGAACCCAATCTTTCTTCTGTGCATCACATAACTCAGAGCAACGTAATAGAGAATCAGATCTCTGTAAAGATTATTGAAGACACAGAATTTCTTTCAGCCATTATCTCTCTCCTCAGTGTGCACAGAGCACTGGAGGAGCCCCAGTACTGTGATGGGAGCACTGCCTTTGCTGTGTCCTGTAAGCCAGGCACCATCTGAACTCAGATGGCTGTGGCTTTGCTTTAAGCTTTGCAACTGATCCTCCTCTCACAGCTGGTTCTGCTGAGAATCCCCTCTGTGGCTCTGCCTCTCATGTTTTGGAAGCAAGTTTTACCATGAGCCGAGGCTAGATGCTTGTTCTCCTTCCTCCTGAAGTGCTGTCCAGGAGACAAGGCTGTAAATTACAGCTCCCTCTGAATCCATCACCTGCAAATGCAGGGGAATCCTCGCAAACACTGAGACAAAATCAGCTTTGCTTTTCCCCTGAATCTCACCTAGCTCACAGTACAGACACCATCTGCATTTCGTTATGCATGGGCAGACTATCCAGATGCAAATGAACTGTGCTACACCATAAATAAAACGTTTTCATTCCTGTCTTTGACCTTTTCCTACCTCTTAGCTCCAGTTTTTACTAAGACTAATGCAGAAAAATATTTATTTTAACTATCTGATTAGTTTGTTGTGGCTTTGTTCAACGGTGCTCCACTTCATTTGAGATTGTCCTGCTCCCTCCCCACGGTCTGGATAACCACAAGTTAACTGAGTACAGTGAGGAAAGACGAATTAAAACCGATCAAACAGCCTGATGTAGCGTCTGCTGTAGATGGCAAAACAGATCGGACTGATTGGGCATTTGTCTCTGGAACAGAGGGTGGTTTTGATGTATGTGCATAATTTGTGAGAGAATTTGCTTCTCCTTAGAACTGCTGCATTTGATGCTGCATAATTAAGAATTCCATCACCAGTCTGAAAAGCGCCCTTTGGTTGACACTGGGGCTCAGCTACATGGAGAACTCACACTCTGGACACAACGTGTTTTGGAACCTTAAGAATCACTGCTGCCCTGGGGCTGGGAGCTCACCATTATATCATATATCATTATAGTGGCCAATTTCTTGGCAGCACCTTGCAGACCAGTGTATTCTAGCAAAAGGCATGAAAAGTCATCCAACTAACACCCAACTAAAAGGAATACCAAAAAAAAGGGAATATTTGAGGTATCTTTTCCACCACATTTCAGCTCTTGCTGCTGTGTCCAGCTGATAGCTGTCTCTTTCTTGCCAGGTGTAGCACAGTGTGGGGATTAGCTTTGCAACGCCGCTCTCACTGATCAGGAGACAGCAGTGAGAACAGGGGCTCATCTGTCCAGTCCGGTGCTCCCTGTGTTTTTCTCATTCTCATGGAGACACCAAATCCTTCAGGAGAGGAATAGATGTCAGTTTTGCCTGTAGCACATACAACCCTGTCTTCAGGAAGAGAACTGCAGGCTGGGAAGCAGAGGATCAGCAGCCACTGCTGAAACTTGCAGGACATATCTTTTGCTCACATACTTTTCCTTAGCCAGTTCATTTCCACCCCTAAATGAGTCATAGTTCATAGAAGATCATAGAATGGCCAGGGTTGGAAAGGACCACAATGATAATCCAGTTTCAACCCCCTGCTACATGCAGGGTCGCCAACCACCAGACCAGGCTGCCCGGAGCCACATCCAGCCTGGCCTTGAATGCCTGCAGGGATGGGGCATCCACAGCCTCCTTGGGCAAGGATATGTGAGAGAGAGCTGGGAAATCAAGAGAAACTATTGCATTTCAATGATCTTGTATCTCGGGCTAATTTAAACAAAAATTTTAACCTGGTCTCCTAAACTCCACATAAGTTCCTTATGTGCTATTTTACTGACCTGTCCAGGAATGCTTTGCCTTGGAGAGAATTTATCTGTACATTTCTTCTGATAAGAGGAAAGCTGTAACCACCATCACTGAGCCAGCTAGTACCTCCCTTCGCATGACTCTGTTTTGTAAGCTCTTAACTGGAGAAAATAATATGCAAAAGGTTTTTTGGGTTCCCCCCCCCCCCCCCACTTACAATGCCTTTCATTCCTCATTGGCTGAATTTATTTCATCCATAAAACAAGAGTCTCAAAGGATCCCAGCCGTCTGTGCATGGGGTGTGTTGATTTGTATTCTGCCACTGTTTTCTGGAAGATAACAAATACAGGAGAACATAAATCCTGAGTATTTTTTTCCCCCCTTTCTTTATCTGCCCTCCCGTTCTCTGTTGTGCCACAACTGCTAATGGCATCCTGTTTTAGTGGTGGTTGTAATGAGATAAGGCTGTGAATAGTCTTTTTGCACCTGTTGCACCCATATAGATGCTGTCTGCAGGCTTCACTCCTCCCCTCCTGCTCCTGAGCTGAAATAATTTACCTCACAATTACAGACCTGTAGTCACAAATCCATTGGGTCAGGGAGATATGTAGAGCAGTGATGTAGTCCACTCACCCCTCTGTATACACTCACACTGTTATTGCTCCCTTGTCTCCCTTCTTCCTGCTTTCAAAAAAGAGGGACAAATGCTCCATTCTTTGACTTCGGTTCCAGATCATTCACTACAGTCACTGTGTGTAACCAAGTTTAATTATTTATAAAGGTGAGACTTTCTGTACTTGTAATAAATTTCTCTACTCATAAAAAGCCAGGGATTCATAATACCCAATCCTAAATTATTTATCAGCCAGAAAGACTGCAGGATCCACAATGCCAGGGTGTTCCCAAGCACCTCAGCTTCCCAGAAGGGTTATCTCCATTGGGTTGGGAAGGGATTTGACCTTGCTTTTTCTTCTCCCTTGAGCTTTCTTGACAGAGGAATGCAGTGGCATTATTCAAGCACAGATGAGTCTTTGACAATTACACACTAACAGCACGGAGGCATTGAAACTCAGGAGCTGGATATCTGACCCTCACCAATCAAACAGAAAGAGCAGAAGTGCCCATCAGAGGCACAGCAGGGCTGCAAAGGGCAGGACGTTCTACACCCACTCACATATGGCCCCAGAGCAGACTTTATTGGTGCAGAGTCACCTCAGCACATCTGTCCCCACCTCAGCTGTGGTAACAGTGACACAGAGCAGAGCCTTTGCCCATGCTAAACCTGTGCTTTCATTCCCTGGACAAAATGGCAAAATAGAATTTTCCACCTGCACCAGAAAGGCAGAATAGGAAGAAAAAATAAGAAAAAAATTCCATTCGTTAGGTGAGCCTGAAAGCACATTCATAACTGCTGCTCACCAACAGAAGCATTTTGGGGAAAAAATTCTCCAGAGTAAATCAGGCATCAGCACAGATGATACAATGCGGAAAAATCAAGGGCAGGAAGTTTTTCCCAGATCTGTACTTTTATAAGGAACTGAGATTTTTTGGTTTGTTTTCAAGATGAACGAACTGAGAAAAAGAAAAATCATGCAGCTCCTCCCATCATGGAATACACACGGTGGCAGAATGCTGCATGCCTTGTGTCAAAGCATCCGTAGCATTGATTTCTTGAAATGAGAAATAAGTTTAGGGTGGAGTGCTTGGGAAAAGATAAATCAATAGAATTTGCAGTGACTGAATATAACTATCAACTGTAATGGCAGCAGTCAAAAAGCCTTATCCAGCTCCGTAACCTTTTGTTGTCTGTACCTTTATTTTCATTAGAACTGTCATAGACGCAACTCTGACCTTACTTTACCAATCTGTCTGAAATTCGACTAAAATTAGCGCAGCTCAAAAACACCCATTTTCATTCCTCAGGATGCTTGGAGGCAAAAAGCAAAAAACAAAGAAAACCAAAAACCCACACACAAAAAAAAACCCCACAAAGTAGAAGTGCTTGCAATGCAAATTGGGATTCTAAAACCCAACCAACTAGGAAAAATATTTTCGTGTACCTACAGAGGTGCCAGAAGCAGCCCTACCTTCCAGCACCCAAAGCATCTCCCAGGCCACCAGCTACAAGACCAGAACATAGAAACCTAACCCTTTCTGAAACTCATTTTATTGTTTTTCCCTCTTCATCCCCACATGAATTGAATTATCTGTAATCAAGAAGCACTCAGCCCACATGTGTCTGAGGGCTGCAGCTGCTTGGGGCAGATTCTCCCCATCCCTCTGACTCATGGTTTGGGACTTTCACCTCAGCCTTGCCTATCATCACCACCATCACCAGTACCATAGTGGGGCTTGCGTGCTCCTCTCTGCCTCCCAGTTAGTAAGAGCCTGTTTGGATGGTATTTGCTACCTGGTTGGCCCCAAATACTTCCTTGCTGTTGGCAACCAAGCGTGGTTTCTGGCTGACCTTCTGGAGGCTGCAGGCTCTTTGTTTAGATACTGCCTTGCACACCTACAGACTGCGATGGTTGGAGAGCTGGGGTGTTGATATCACTGTTTTGCACTCTTACCCAAACCTTATTATTTTTCTCTGTTCCCCTGCCTGTCTGTCCACGCTGACCCGCTATGAGCTGTGTTATCCTGGGGGAGAGTTGTTTTCTAGCAGAACGTAGGAGAGAGAGAGGCCTCAGTCTGTTGTGTCTCCTGGGAGTCACTCCCAGCAGTGAGAGCCAGTGACATCTGCAAAGCTGCCATAGTCCTACTCTGTCTTTGCATTACTCACCCAAAGAGCCAGTACCTGAGGCTCCCTGAATCCCAGGGCAGGTATATTGAAACACCAGAAGCTGTTGGCCAGCAGAAGGTGGCTAAAGCCTTTTGGCCACCACAAGTCATTGTGTTCAGCATCCGGGCCATACCCGTGGCCAAGACTCATATGCATAGACAGCAGTCTCAGAGTCTGAGGTGTCCTTGTCTGGGCTGTCCTCAGAGGCCTCGTATCAGTATCTAGAGGATCAGTGCTCCTCTCACAATAAGCATTTTGGTCTCTCTTGTTCCAGACAACGACATTGAATTTGCAGAGCACTTAACTGAGGGCAAAAGCTCCCAGGAAATACTGACTTGCATTAGAAAAACAAAACAAAACAAAAAAAGACTCAGAAGAAGAAGCTCAATGGCAAGCGACTTGATCTTTCCTAAAGTCTTTTGAACTTCTGAGGTCTCCAAGTGCTTGATTTACTTTGTGGTTCAGATGCCAGATCAGGCAGATTATTTTTGAGACTTGTTCTCTTGTCCCAGGTTTTGCCCTTGATCTTCAAGAGCACCTTGGCTTCCACTGCTGAGCTCCTTTGGGAATGTGCAGGCTCACACTCAGCCGTAAAGAAAGCAAGAGCAGCCTCCCCCAAAGCACTGGAGTTGATTTACAGGAGGAGGACCAATTTTTCCTTTATCGCTTCTACTGTTGCAGAGAGATGAATTCTCCATGGCATAATAGCAGAACAAAAATAGATTGCTTCTGTAATACACTACACAACAGCCTGGAATGCATCAGCCGTTTTCCTCAACCGTTCTTTGACAAATGAAATTTTATCTAGCTGAGTTTATCATATCATTTTCCGTTTCCCTTTTCCTCCATTTCCCCAAAGTTCTATAAGTGCCCAAAGGGGCTTCATGGTAGTACGACTGTTAAGGTCATGCATATCTTTTTAACTTGGACATGCTTCCAACTTACCAAACCTGCCTTGCCAATGCTGTTGTGATGCTATGGCTGGAGATATACAGAGTGCTTCGGTGAGGTGGATGGATAGGTTGCCATTTATGACTCTGTTGATCAGCAACAGCGATAGGGCACTTGTGATCTGGGTCAGGTATCGGCCACATTTCTATTTATTTTGGGCTGGTTTTGTTTTCACTGATGACTCACAGTCATTTCTGCACTAAAGTTCCCAATCTATTTGGTCTTCAGGCAAGAACAGTATTAGGGAAATGCCCTTTTCTACAGAAAACCTTGTAATTAAAACAACTGCTTGGCTCTGCACTATTGAGGGTAAACAACTCTGAAGGGAGCATTTGCTTTATCAATGTGTAGAGGAAAAGCAATAAAAGATCACAGTGGCTATAAATGGATGTAGAAGTGAAATTCCTATTTTGTGCCACCTTCAAAAAGCAAAATCTTTTTTCAAAAACGTAATACTTTTTGGCAAACACGTTTCAGCCTCTGGGGAGAAGCCATTCCCTTCACTCAGGGTGAAATATCTTCTTCCACGAGTGCTTTATGGTTCTGCCCTAGCACCTCAGCACGGTGGTTCTGTAGGGATGTTGAATGAGACCAGCAGGGAAGGCAGTTCTTCTGTATATTGTGATTCTGTGTCAAATGTATGTTTTCACCTTTTTTTTTTTTTTTGCTTCTGCACCCATGGATGTTCTCAGTGTTTTGTGCTGCTGGCTGCAGGGCTGCTAATTCCAACATCAACATGCCAACATTCAGATTGGATGTTAGGAAATATTTCTTTTCTGAAAGAGAGGTGATGCAGCGGCACAGGCTGCCCAGGGAGGTGGCAGAGTCACCATTCCTGTTCAAAAACTTTTGGGATATGGCACTGAGGGATGTGGTCAGTAGGCATAGTGGGGGTGGGTCGATGTTTGGATTTGGTGATCTTAAAGATCTTCTCCAACATTAACGATTCCATGATTCTGTCTCAACCCTTCACCCAAGACCAGACAGAATCCCAGGGGACAGCCCCCATGGGGGCACATGGGGCATGCAACCATGCAACGACGTTATCCCAACTGGGCACAGCCATGCAGAGCTGCTCGTGGGGAGCTGGTGGCTTTTTTCAAGACCAAAAAGCTGCAAAACAAAGCAACCAATGGATTTTGGCATCACTGCAGGGAATTCTTGGACTCAGACTGTCAAGTGTGCCTCATCAGCACACTGGGTGAGGATGCCAGGCTTCAGATGCAGGGGGTGAACTGCAGATGGCAGGCATAGTTTGTGAGCTCACTTTTGTACCTTGAGGCCCACTGGGCAGGATTGATTGTACCTCTCAGAAAGCGGCATTTGCAGATGTTATTGATGTGGGATTGGTGCAATCCACAACCCGTGCTGTTGATGTAGAGAAATACCACAGATGACATCATTTTTTTAAAAACCCCTCCGCCAAAATCTTTTAAAACAAAACTTGCCTTTTCTTTTCACATTGATCCTCCCTCCCTGCTATCGATTTTCCCTTTCCCATTACTGATGCGATGCGCCATGCCAGCATATTGCAAGCCAACTTGATGGAAGGAAATCGCTTCCAGAAATCCTGTTAGTGAGTGGTGGGGGGAACCT